TTCACAGTATTCTTTATTACTGTTATCTCAGATATCAGCTCCTTCCTAGTTTCTTCTTGTGTCTCCTCAATTTTTTTAAATCTCCCCTTTAATGTCTTGATATCTAGGTTTGTAGTTTGAGACCCTTCATTCTGGGGGCTCTTCATTGTTTGCATTCCAAAGTCAGTTTTCTCAGTGTCTGCCCTCCCAGGTGTCTGGGAGATACCCATACTCTTCTTTTGGTTTTTCTTCATTTGTGTAGATTTTTCTCTCTCTTCCCCTTTCCCTCCTCTTCTTTCATTCTGTTTTTGAGGGAAGGTGGGGTTGCTTTTATTTCTCTTCTGCAATATACTGTTCTTCCTTATGAGGGTCTTCTGGCTTTGTTCACTTTTTGAGGTTGGAGTGTAGGCTGCAATCTGTACTTTTTGCAATTTTGAGGTTTAATTGAGAGGGAAGCTGTGTTTCAGAGTGTATATGCTGATTCTGTCATCCACACACAGGTATAAAATCAAGAAACAGTGTAAGTTAGAAGGCAAACAACAAAAGTGATCAAAACAGACAGTCAAAATGATAAAATCATAAGTCAAAATAAGCGATCAGACTACAGTCACTTCAGCTCTGATCTCCAGCCTCTCCCCTTAGTTTTTCGTTGCAGGCAGCTAGATTTACTCGCAGGTTGGGTTTGTTTTTGTTTTTGTTTTTGTTGGAGTCTCACTCTGTGGCCCAGACTAGAGTGCAGTGGCTGCTCCCGGTCACCGCAGCCTCGCATCCTGGGCTCCGGCGATACTTCCACCTCAGCCTTCCAAGTAGCTAGAGCTACAGGTGCTGGGGTTTTTTTTGTTTTTGTTTTTAGCCTGCTGCCTGGGATTTACTTTTGTCTGATTCAGCATAGCGGTGGGCTTTGTCTCCTGTTTAGCAACGTTACCTTAGGAACCGAGGTGGTGGTTGTTGATAGGTGGACAGGGCAATGGAAATCTCTGCCTGAAGAATGGCTGAGGCAGATTCACTTTCGCAGATCCATTTCTCTCCGCTTGTCTGTGTCCCCAAGCTTGGGGTCGCACGCTGAGTGCCTCAGCCAGGGTGGGCCCAGAGCTCCAGAGCACCAAAGCTCCAAAGGGCAGACGGTGAGTGGCAAGAGAGGTCCTGGGCCCCCAAAAGGGTACTTCAGCCAGGAATGGGACTGGTGTCTCTGAGGGGCGGGCGCCCAGAGCCTCCCTGAGTGACCGGCGGCTTGGTGCTGGGTGCTGGGAGAGAGATAATGTATCCAGGGAGGGAGCTGAGACCTGAGACTCCCACACAGGCTGGAGTCACATATGGTGAAACAGTACCAGCAGGGGCTGCAATATCCGGCCCAGCTTGGGACCGAAGGTCCCCGGGCCTCAGACCAGCGTGGCTGGTGGTGGGCTGGGAGATGGGGGAAGAAAAGAGTCTTTTTGGGAACTCACGTTCAGAGAACCTCAGAAGTCCACCTATGCCTTCGCCATCTTCTTTCTCCAGTTCGATCAGTTTTTAAAAAGTTCTTTGAAAATATTGTGTCATTTCTATCCTGAAAAATTATTCATATTATTTTAACCCTTAAATATCTGCTGACCCATGTGTATTTAGGATCATGGATATCAGTGTTTGTTGTGCCCATAATGGCAAAATTTTCTGACAATTTGAACCATAATTAGTGAGAGTGAATGTAGATAAATTAATTTAAAACACTAAAATATGTGATACTACTATGTGACATTGAATCTAACAGTGGCATAGTGAAACCAAAATATTTCATTTCAGTTTACAGTTCAGTGAAAAATCCCAAGAAAAAGCAAATTGTTTTATTTACTTCTTATATCTGTTTTTTCTTTTTTCTTTTTTTTTAGTTTGGATAATTTCTGTTTTGTTTTCTCTTTAATTTTGCATAAATAGACACCACTTGGTAGCCTATTCTTTTCACTATTTTTCTGAAGTTTTTTCCTACAGAACTTGCCAGTTGTGTGTGGTTCTTCACTAGTAAAACTGTAATAACTGATAATAACCCAGCAGTTTCTGTAATTTTCTTCTCATGTATCTTTGTTTTGGGCAACAGAATTCCCTTTTAAAATGAAAACAAATTAGAAACTTCAATTCACAAAACATTTAAAAGCAGAACTTCTTTGGTAAATGTTAAAGTGTAGAGACTAGAATAGTCTGGAAACCTCTTGGACTTTTCCCTCACCTCTGGCATGGCCCCAAGTACTAGTCTAAGGGAACACAGATTCCAACATAGACAAACTAAAAATTATGCCCTTACCTTTCTTTCTCCAAATGACTATTAGAAATCTCAGTTACTATGTTCTAGTTGCTTGCATACATTTTAAAATAATGTAATCTAAAGATGAACTGTGAATAAAATTATGCAATTATTTAATTTATAGTAATATTATAATAATAAAGCTCATTTTTTTCAATTCAAAAATTTTAAATGGCCAAAAGTAAATGAAATAAGTTTTGACTTTCAATATCATCCTCTTAAAAAATCATCATACAGTTTTCTTTAATCATTATCATATTGGATCATGCATGTTTTGTCTTGTTTTATTTCTGCTGTATCCACACTGAAATTATTAAATTGGCAAAAGGAATGCATAATACTTGCATTATATTTTTGAATTAATTAACTAGTTATATGATTGAAATGCAATATATCTTTAATGTATTTTATGAACCTTGGTTTAAACAGGTTTGTGCTTCTTTGCTACGACATGTAGTCAACCTGAGGTTATCATTAGACACTACGTAAGTCTGTAATAGTTTAAGAGAAAAGTTATTTATAAGTATTGGTGATTTTTATTCATAAGATAATTGCATTTTCTGTTAAACCCAATAGCTATTACTGGAACATTTGGAGTGCCTTGTGTCACGACATGAAAGGTCGCTAAGAATGACGGTGGTAAAACGGCAAGCCCAATCTCCCTCAGGAGTATCCAGTGAAGTTGAGGTTCTCAAGGCACTGAAATCTTTGTTTGAACACCACAAGGCCTTGGATGAAAAGGTATCGTATGGACAAAAGATTTCAAGCTTAACTATGCTTTTATCATCAGCATGAAGCTCTTCTTAGTCTTCATCCATTGACTTATCTGACCCTTGAAATAAGTTAGTTCAGGAAGACACTTGAGATATATGAAAAATCATTTATAGATATAAAAATGGATTGCTATATGAATATTGGTAATATTCATAATCATTTTCTTTCTCTATACCACTGAATCTACGGGCTTATCAGAATTAGACTTCCATTATGGTACTTTATAGCCCTAGTTCAGATGGCCAATTGAAATGTAATATTGTTTATTAATATTATATTTATACTTTCTCTCTCCTCTTTTTCAACACCCCTTTCTCTCTCTGAAATGCATGTCCATAAATGCCAAAATAAGAGACCATTAACTGAAAATTCCACCTATTTTGAAGTGTAAATTTGATGTACTTAAGTTTTTAGACATTTATTTTAGAAGCATCCAGTTTTTTCAGGTATTTAATATCTTAGTTTTGAATATACATTAGAAGAGTTTCTGCATGTAACAGCATAAAGTATTGGTGGAAAAGCCTGCTTTTAGATCTTTTAAAAAGTAGCTGTAAGCTTCTCTTAGCTGTTACTCAAATAAGTTCTACAGGCATATATAAGCCAATATGATGATGATATCCTTTGGAGATTAGGAAGGCTTATGACATGATTTTAATTTGGTGAAATTTCAAAGACTGAACTTTTAAAAATTAATAAAGCTTTTAGTACTTACTAGAGTGGAAATTGGGGCACTTCATTGTAAAGTATCTGACAAGTTCTGAGCATGAAAATCCAAACTAGGGATTATTGCCGAGTTAAATCTAGTTTTTGAGCATGCAGACGTTTTTGTTCCATTTAATATTTATGTACATTTATATTTTTATCATCAGTATTTCAGATGTTCTTAGAACAGAGGATTATGTGAACTGTGTACATAAGGATAACTACAATTCTGTCTTCTAGAGTATTAAGAAATTATATCTTATTTTTTATTTTAGCAATGAGAGGTAACTAGTATGTGAATAATTTTGGATAAAACAGAAATGAAATAATGTAAAAATCCATGCTAAATATCAAATAATCATTTAATATTTAATATTTAGTTTTATATTTTCTCTCTTCTCACAAGAATGTATTGTTAAGAATTTTTAAGACTATATTTACAGAATATTTAGTATGTATCAAACTCTTTGGCAGATTTAATATACAAAGGTAAATAAGACATTCTCCTTATTACTGAGTTCATAGTTATTGCTAGGGATTCACATATAAAGAGCAAACAATGCTAAAAAGACATGTGTGCAGCATAATATGTAGTCATAGAAAGAGTTGTGACTGACTCTGCTTAAGTGATAAGAAAGATAATAATGTCTTCAAGAGGGGGTGCCATTTGACTTGGCTATTAAAGAACGAGTAAGGATTTTTTAAGTGGAGAGAAATACTCTAAGTAGCAGGACCAACATATAAAATAACCCAGAGCTGTAAGAAGAGAATGGCCTGTTTAGAGAAGATGAAATAATTTTATATGTCTTAAATGAAGGTCCTAGAGTATGTGTGCTCTGAGATGTTTCACATGGGCACTCGCACATTACTTAAGTGAGGGATTCTTTTATAAAGGAATATTTCTTTATCACAATAGAAAATAATGAACACTATTTAAGACAAATGGACTGATAGTGTGAGTACATTTTAAAAAGAAAATGGTTGCTGCAAAACTTAACCTAGAATTTACTATATAGAAGTTCGGTGAGCTTAGCATAACTATATAAAGTATTCTATAACATGACTCTAAGAGATATAATACTGTGTATTAACTTACCAAAAGTGCCCTGGACATTGGTGAGTTCAGGGGCAACTGAACTGATTATTAACAAGTTACGCTCATGCCTAAAGGATAAACATTGTGAACTTGAGTTCTAAAGCGGGATAGACCAGACAAGTGACCTAACTTCTCTAAGCATCTTTTTCTTCTTTTGAATCAAAATAATAATAGCATAATAATAGCATCTACCTCAGAGTTGTCACGAGAATTACACATAATCTGAGAGGCAAAGCTCTCAGTTTTTAGCATATGGCAAGCCCTCAGTAAATGTTAGTGGATATTATTATTGACATGAATATATCTCAGCACTTAATAAAACTTTTAAGCCAAGTAAAGATGTTGGAATCACTCTTGATCCAGATGCTTATTTTAAATAGCATTTCGATTAGTTATTATGCTCCTAAGTATTAGTTTTTGAGCATGTGCCTAAGTGCCTTCATAAACAATTTTCCTAAATAAGAGTAGCTCACAGCTTCTCGTGGGCATGGGGTAGAATATGAATTCAGAAACATAAACAAGTAATTATAATACATACGAAGGTCAAAAGAAGATGCAAGTAACCACGCTGTGAGTACAAGAAACCACTAACTTTATCATAGAGGATTTGTTTAGAACACATGAATAACTAAATAAACTTTAAAATATTGAGCATAATTGTAGACAATTGCAATGATTGGTGGTCTTCATTATTGATGTCCACTTATTTATACATCCCCTGAGTTACAGAGTAGAATTTTCACAATTAGCTAAGACCAAAAGTAATTTTAACATCAATATGTTTACCAATTCCATGGGTGGGAGAAAATGAGAAATACCCATGAACTTTGCAATTATTCAGAAATCATTGACTATTAAAAAACATACTGGCCAGGCTCGGTGGCTCAGCCTGTAATCCTGTGCCTTTATGAGGCTGAAGTGAGTGGATTGCCTGAGCCTGTGGGTTTGAGACCGCCTGGGCAATGAGACCTCATCTCTACAATAAATCAAAAAATCAGCCGGGTGTGGTAGCGCATGCCTGTAATTCTGGCTACTTGGAAGGCTGAGGCGGAAGGATCACCAGAGCCCAGAAGGTCGAGGCTGTGGTGGCCGGGAGCAGCCACTGCAATCCAGTCTGGGTGACCGAGTGAGACTCAACTCAAAAAAAAAAAAAAAACATATTGGACGTGCATAAGAAATGTAAACCAAAATAAATTAAATACATATGCCTTTCATGTGTATTTTCATGGTCAAATATCACAGTATCAGAACTAGATTAAAACTTTTGGCCTAAGGAGATTTTCTTACAAATATGTTTTTATTACAGGAGTGATAATTTCCAAAATAAAATGTTGCCTTACCTTAATTTCAGTTTGGATTGTGTTTCTTTCATCAAAATCTCATCATGTTTAACATATTTGTCATTTTTAGAAACTTGTTTTATTTTATCCTCAGGGATAAAATTTCTGTGGCTTTGAAATACCTTTTGAAAAAAAAAAACTTACCTCTCAGTATTTTTCCGACCATTATGATAAAAATAGATAGAAAATAGATAAAATTAAAAATTAAAAAGTTTAGATGTATATGAATCATATATTCAAGTGTTACACTATAGGCCTATAAATAAGCAATCAATATATTTTAGCTTGAAGACTACACAGAAAATAGATTAGTTGAAAGTGATTCAATCATAAAAAGAGAAAATTAAGCATAGAAGGCTACAAACTGTGTACATATATTTAGGAAAAAAATATTTTCTCCTAGCATATTAATCATGTCTAGACAGCTTCACAAAAAAAAAAACATCGAATAAGAAAAATAAAGATAATTATGGCATTCTGCTGGCGCAATTATAGAGCAGAGCAAAAAACTAAGACTTCTTAGAGATGCTATATTTTCCTATCAATGCATTTCAAGCCAAGTAGACAAGACAAAATGTTAGGATTTTTTATCCCAGAAAGGTTAATCCTTTGAATCCCCCAACCTTTTTTTCTTACTAAATTTAGCAGAGATAAGGGTGGTGCAAAGTTAACATGTTTTATTTATATGCGTCTTACCCCAAAATTAAACACACAGAGAATAATTCATCCTCATGTAAATATGAGGAAAATATTCATAGCATAATATATTGATATTTGCAGCCTCAATTTTTACATTTATAACATTAACTCAAAATATATTAATAAATTGTTTTGTTTTATTGGAAAGACAGTTTTAGATTCATTACTTTGTAAGCAACACAATCTCAACTCACAAAACACTATTTTAGATGTATTGAGGGGTTATAATTTTACTTTCATATTGTTTGATAAGCTTGATAATTTTTACTCCTTGAAGACTCACTATAATGAGAATATAAATTTTTTAACTTGTAGTAAATAGAAAACAATGTGGAGCAGCTTCTAAGTATTCAGTTTAACAAAAGAAATTCAGGAAGATATTTTGACCTATAATACAGCCTGGATTCAACCATTTCTTATGTGGCTTGAATGACACTTTTAGAAGCATTTTAGTGTATTAATATGTCTTTTGAAATACAGTAGCTTTACCTTTCCACAGCAATCTGGATGTGATCTTATCAATGTTGTACATGGTGAGAGCAAAAGCTTATATTTAGGTTGCTTCATATTGCTGTTCTTATCAACCAAGTTTCCTAAACCTTTTACCAAAAAGCCCATATTTTACAGTTGGTATGTTAGAAAATAGGAATCCTTGTTAAATATTCCATATCTATTAAAACTTCTGTTGAAATATGCATTCCATATGTCAGCTACTGTACTGATTTTCATGGCTTCAGGGTATTTGCTGCTTTATCATCTGTCTAAGCCATTCATACAAAAGTATTCCCCAAGCCAAATCTTCAAAGATTTCTTTCTATGTAGCTACTGTTTGGTTATTAGTCAGCATTGATCTAGGCATTTTTATTAACAATTGGATATTTGTCTAACAGGACTGGCACTTTGGCAGTCAATCTGGTACCACTAAATATCATGAAAAATCCTGTACAGCCGTTTTTCATATCAAATGTCTATGTATGTATCAGTACTTTTCAGATGGTTTGAGAATAACAAAATACAATTAATGATAAACTCCCATGTGGGTATTTTTTAGCTGATTCAAGGTGTATTTCACGAATTAAATACTTCCAGTCATCTGAATATGGATGGTATCATAATACAGTACTAAAATATGATTTAGATTTTTAAAAATTTTTAATTGGGTTATAGATTAATAGGATATTACTGACTTTTTGTTTGTTTGCTAACTGGAAGATAATATTATAACCTCAATTTTAAAATTTTTATGTATCTGAGTTTTCATATATTTTATATATTTAACCGATATTCCCAGTTAATTCTTATTGGAAGAAAAAAATACTATTCATTAAAATACACTATCAATCAATTAACAAAATTAAAGTTTACAAGACTATAATTATGCATTAAAATACACCTTCATTGCAGAAATACTGTAGCCGTCCCATGGGAAATTTATATTAATTTATACATAATCAAAAATTCACCATGAATTGTATCTTAAGTTAAAGCTGTAAAGTTTGTCTACTTCTTTAAGGAAAATCAAACTGCTCCAGTCATTCATTTTAATTCATAAAACTTTTCTCTGAATTTTTCACTTTTGATAAATATAATATGGGCCATATCTATAGATTCAAACATATAACAGCTAAAATATTTAGAATTTATAAGGAAGTAATGAAAAAACACTTATTTGAGTTTCACTTATGTATGAAACATGTGTAAATCATCATTATTTTCTTAAGAAAATGTGTACAGACTTTTTAGTTCTGAAAACAAAATGGTTTAACCCTGGGATCTAAAAGCCAGTTGGAAGTTACAGAATAAGTCCTTTACAACCATTCGAAAACAAAGTAGGCTTCAAATTACTTAAAGCGTAGAAACAATGAACATTTTTCAAGTTTTAAGGATTCTTTCCTTTTAGGCACATTATTTTTGAAGTTAGGTACTAAATGCCAAATGAAAATCCATGATTATTTTATAGAAGTAGAGAAAAAGGTGCAGGTATTTTTTGCCCATTTTTCATGTTTAATCAGTGACTATTTTTCAGATGAGTTCACAATATAATTTCGAACTTTGTCTCCACTTACTATGAATCAGAATTCAGAACAAGACAAGGCAATCTCCAACCCCCTCGGAAGTACTATCAGTGACCCATCAAAAGGATTTGTTTACAAGGAAATCCCTTGATATGGTGATACTACAAGGTGACAATGTATTCATCATATTCCTTCTAGAGTTATTACTCAGAGCACTTAGGGCTATAGCTACCTTACTAACTTGCCAGATTGTCTCTGATGATGATAATGATGGATTCAGCACAGTTGATTATGTATGGGATGTACATTACTGCACATATTTTGATTTTTCTTCTAGGTAAGGGAGCGACTGAGGGTTTCTTTAGAAAGAGTCTCTGCCCTGGAAGAAGAACTAGCTGCTGCTAATCAGGAGGTAACATGCCACACTTTCTCCTCTTTTGAGGTGCAATATTGCTAACAGTATATCCCTGTGTTTCACATCACTTTTATTAAAACTCTCACCAAACATAAATTGCATTCTGTCTATGCCACTGGAAAAACCTGTTGAAACTAGTTGTCAGAGTCTTGTTTTCTGATTTTTGGTTATCCATGTCTGTCACCAGTAGACCTAAGGAAAATTATCAAGTGTTAGTGACATGTGAGCCAGTGAGATGGAGATTTACAGAGACTGTAGGCAGAATGTCTGTCCTTTTAGAAAGGAAAACACAACTCCAAAATTGAAAAACATATCAAATAGCTTAGAAAATGTTACAGATAAAAGTATAAGATGTTATTTAGAATTTTTTAACTTTTTTATTTTAAAGATGTGTGGTACAATTCAGGGTTAGGTATACAAATAATCACTATACAGGTCCTTACTTTTAAAATGTTACAAATAAAAGTCAGCTCCATGGAGAGACATATGTACATATTTTACAAATCAAAGTCAACTCCTTGGAGAGATATATGTACATATATCCTCTCAGGTCCCGCTTATTCTTATCTTCTAAAAGCATTGTGTTCATGTTTAGTGGCATATTGAATCTACTTATTTTTGCTACCATTTGCAATTCTAAGAATGCACTACAAATCATCTCTTTAAAGAGTTACTTTCCCTTTAAAATATTTTACTTCTTTCAAAGAGTTAATTTCCCCTTTAAAATATTTTACTTCTCTTGGTTTTTAGTGCATAAATGAACTTAAATAACTTGGCTATTTATATAATATCATATATATATATACATGAAGCAAGTATGTGTCAGCCACTAAAATATCCCTTTCTCTTTCTCTAATATTTTAAGGCTACTTTTCCCACAGAAGTTTATTCCAGTAATATAATATTGGTATTCCTAGTAGTGAGTATACTCAAATAATTCAGCAAAATCTTCCTACTTTTAATAAGCAAGGGTAGGCAGGAAGAAGGAATGACAAGACGTTCATTAATGGATACAAATATATATTAAGATAAAGAAATATGACTCAGTATTTTATGAATCAGTAGAGTGACTATAGTTAACATTCAATCTAATGTACATTTCAAAATAGCTAGAAGAAAATAGAATAAAGATAAATATTTAAGGTAATGGACTATCCCAATTATGCTGATTTGATCTTTAAACATTATATAAATGTATCAAGTTATTACAAGTACTCCCCAAATGTGTTTTTCATTTATGTATCAATTTTTTAAAAATTTAGATAAATAAAATTTTTAAAAGATATGGGAGACTAATATGAGTAATATTAAGTCTTATAAAGAGATCTCTAACAAGGTAATATTTGCATATACATTATTCACACAGATAAATACACTTATTCAAACAACTCAAAAATCTTGTCAGTACACACTTCTTTGTTTTATACAAATATGCTAGGTTATTTTCTTTATTCCAGCCTTAATAATTTAAACTTTAGAAATAATGGACTTATAACTACGAAAAGACTTAGGTTCATAAGAATTAAAGACTAACAGTGTTAAAAGTATAAATGGAGCCAGGCTTGGTGGCTCAGCCTGTAATCCTGTGCTTTGGGAGCTGAGGTGAGTGGATTGCCTGGGCCCGCGGGTTCGAGACCCGCCTGGGCAACTTGGTGAGACCTCATCTCTACAATAAATCAAAAAAATTAGCCAGGTGTTGGTAGCGTCCGCCTGTAGTTCCAGCTCCTTGGAAGGCTGAGGAGGAAGGATCTCCGGAGCCCAGCAGGTCGAGGCTGCAGTGGCTGGGAGTGGCCACTGCACTCCAGTCTGGGTGACAGAGTGAGACTCCAACTCAAAAAAAAAAAAAAAAAAGTGTAAATGGTGAAATAACCATTTTTAAGACAAAAAAAAAGAAAGAAAGCTTTTTTGGTGATCAGATTCAGCTTAGCAAACTGGATAATTTGAAAAAAAAGAAATTAGAAATTGATATCTCTTGGTCATCAAAAAAATAAAGAACTCAAGGATATGACTAATGACAAGAAGAATTCAGTCTTTATAAGAGATAAAGTAGATAAATTATCTACAGGGTGGGGTGTACTCATTTCTGGAACTATCAGAAAGAAAATGTTAAATGTGTATTCATTTTGTATTTTACTGTTGTTAATTTTGATTTTCATGTATTTTAAAGTATACATTTAGTTTGGGTACACCCCTAAAAATATGGTATTGGTAAGCGCAAACAAACAAAAAGTTTGGTGATTATTAATTTAAAAGCATTGCTTAATATGACAGTGATAGAATTTCTGTTTGTTATAAACAAAGGTATGCTGAGACCGCTTGGGTAAAGTATTTATGCTGGAAAAAAAAAATGTCCCATAAGTTCAAGTGATGCTGTGAAGGTTTGCTCCAGAAATGGCAACTAAATCGTTACTTCAATTATTCATAAAATAAGACAACAACACTTGAAAGCAAAAGTAGAGGAAAGATTTATGACTGTTTCCTAGAATGTAGTTTTAAACCTCAAATTTTACTGCACTATCTTATAGTCAGTATCATGCATTTGATTACTTTTACACTACTACAATAAAATTTTAATCATTAACATCCCTCTATAAGACTGTAGATTTTCTGAATGTTTTCATTTTGTTTTAAATCATTTATGTAAGTAAAATTCATTTGCATAATAAGTGAAGATCATTTGTATAGCTAGTTGTTGTGCTCATTATGAAATCCAATGTTTTCTTTTATTTTTGACTGTAATTAATGTCTGTGTGTTTTAATCAGATGCTCTATTTAGAAATTCAACGGGCCAACAAATAGAAAAGTTACTTTAGTTTTCTAATAATAAGTTATTTATAAAAAATAGTGATTCTTTTACGAGCATAAGGGAGAAAAAGTAACTTTAACTTTATAAAATTGATATTTCAAAATGAAAAAAGAAATCAAAAATCAGAAAACACTTCTAATTTGAGTTCTTGATTCTTGATAGTAACAATTCTTGATAGTAACAATCTCTGTAAGTAAAGCATCATATATTGATGATAACAATATACATTCAGAAGCCTGACAAAATTAAGTTTAGAAAAATTCATACTACTAGCAGCTTGAGAAAAAAGAACTATATGAAGTTTGAATATCAAGAGGAATTAATTGAATAAAATATTTTTTAAAACAAAGAACTAATTTTCATCAAAATATGAAACCTGTTTAGGAGCACATTCTTAGGTATATAGAAATATGTACCATAGATCAAAATAATCGATAACTAGAGCAAAAATTCTGCAAATGGACAAATGAGCACGAGGCTGGAGAAAGTTTTATTTGATATTTCAGATTTGAAGCTAAGTTTAAAATGTTCTTACAGCTGTCTTTTAAAATTCAAACCTATTTGTTTCCCGAGTTCATATGAGAGATTTGAGTTGTGAAGGTGCCATATTATCAGAATCTGTTTGGTTCCTGAGTTTCTGGTAGCAATAGTGACAGTTCAGATAAGAAGGGATTTATCCAAACATTTTTCTGAATTAATTCAGTTCCCAAATTCAGAAAGAAGAATTGAGAGCAGTATTTTTATATATTCATTTATATACATGCATATGTAGAGCCTGAAAAGATGGTAGTTTATTCCACCATCATTATATCATTTTAATAGACTATTCTATAATCTACATATCATTGTTCTCTCTCTCTCTCCCCTTGTTCCATTCTCACAGATGAATCTGGACTTATCATCCTTTAATCAAATATCTTTTCTTTATATAATCTCTTTCATGGAGCTTTCATCCATCCCCAATCATCCAAGAATTCAACAGTGACTTTAGTAGGAAAGAAACCAAAATCTATAGCATGAGGTTTATACTTTTTCCTGAGCTACACAAAAGATATTAAACATTCCTTTGGCATTTCCACAGGGCTTTGCTAATGATTGTATAGATTATTCTCTACCACAAATTTCCATCAGGTGAGGGAGGAGGAGATTTAAAATCTAGCTTGGTGTTTGCTAATCTAGACAAGCACTAAAAGAATGTAGCAACCTGTAGCACATTTTCCAATTTACACAAAAACACCATATGCTCTGGTTGGCCTGAATTACCCCCTGGTTTTCCCAATGTACCTTAGATTCTATATGGCACATGAATAATTGGGTAGCCTCATTAGAAAGAATATAAAACTACTACATGTTCTTTTCTGGAAACAGCTCCAAAATATTCTGCTATGTAAAATGGATGAAGCTACATTGAATTATCTTAATGTTTTTCAAATATAAATAATAATAATCATACATTATTAAAGGAATGGAAAAAGTTTTAGATATTAATACCAAACTATTATTATTAGTTGCCTCTGCTGTTTGCAAGCAAATATACTATATACTTCTGTAGTGTTCAAATTTTTTATAACTTTTCATTATTCTTATAAGTGAATAAAATAATAAAGGTATTTTTGAGCCAGATGCCATTTTTTATATTGATGTTAATACAAGATCTTTTTATTAAGCACTTAATAATAGTAATAGTTCATACTTACTGAGTGCTTTAAATCTCTAGACCCTCTACTGAATACATATGTCAGCACAATATATAAAATATTGCTATGTATATTAACATCTGTTAATATATGTTAATAACATGATGACATATATTATATAGACCTGTAACATACCATCAAAAACTTCTATAATGGTCCTAATTTACTAGTTCTGCTCTAACTCCTACTACCTCTACTGCCCTGACTGTCATTCTAAGGTCGTGTAAAATTATAGAAAGTATTGTTTTTTAAAAAACCCAACATGTTGCTGACTCTAGCTGCCCTTATACTAATGTTGTTACTGGAATGTCTCCACAACTCCAATCTACCCACTGAAATCACAGTTCCCCGTTTAAGCTCAAACTGAGCTTCAAACTGAGACATCACCTCTTTCATGAAATAGTTTATGATTCTTTGCCAATAGTCATGGCTCCTTAGTTTAAATTGCTGAAGCTTATGGCTTCAGCATGTGTTATGACTATTCACTAACTATT